AACATGTGTTAGACGATCTGGGATATTGTAGCAATAAAATTTGTCCTAAATACGACCACAGTGATCTCTGAGAAGGAAGAATCTAACAGTCATCCCCAGTCATTCAATAAGAGTCTCTTAGTTATCCAAGATCTAGACTTAAGGGTACCTTTAGTGACATTAATGACTCAACGACTAAGTGCAAGGGTGAAGCGAGTAAAACATTACATATTGGACTAAAATATATTGACAGTACGTGGATTCGTCATTCAGTGTTCGGATTCCATACGTCAATTGCAACTGTAATATTTATATTAATGGAATTTTTGAACAAATTAACAAATTCGCCGTCGTGAAGATATTCTAACTAGGAAGTGTGACCTGTTATTTGTCAAAGTCCTTAATCAAATCGATTCTAACTGCCAACTGAAATCTGAATAGCAAATCCGGCAACTATGTGCAGCGGACACTGTGACAAGCGCTAGCGATTTTGAGATATTTAGTTATAGTCGCTTATTTTAATATTCTTTATATTTCTAGTATTTTATTACTATCAAATAGCAATGAACTATACCTAAGAGCCTAAGTTCATTTTAAGGCCCTTTTTATACAAGGCAACATTAATCTTTGAAACTCATATAGTATTCTTGATTCTCTATCCAATGATCATCGTGACAAAGAGCCTAAATCTCAATGTTAAGACATTGAAATGAAGTCAGTCGCATCAAAAACAGAACTATACGTGTTGGTAAGGAAAAAACAAACCCTACTAAATCCTTGCCCAAATATTTTACACACAAGAAATATAATATAAATCGTTTGACGAGATTATAAATTTAAATCCAATTTACCCGCCACGTTTATCAATAGCAACACACCCTTATCTTAGATTTGCAGTAATAACTATTTGAACAATAACATAGTGGAGTGGGTTGAACATAATCCCGACGAACTTGTATCGAGTTGCCCAATAAACTTTCTAGAGAATACAAATTCTATGCTAAGGACTGATTTGTAACAGAAAGATGTCAATTTGAGAACAGCGGCTTAATGCGAACAATTTATCTGCGTATATTTCTATTACAAAAGAATTGTGTCTGTCCAAAGTCTTGTTTATGTTTTGGTCGTCATTCATTTGTTTTATAAAAAGACGCTTCGAAATTTAAATTTTAGTAAAAACAAAGAGAGGTTCGTCAATGAATTAAAAAAAAAAACTGTCTACACAGAAATTAAATTAACAAGAGGTTATTCCAACAAATAGATCACAACAGAAGTATTCTTTAAGAAAATAGAGAAGGTAAGAAAGTAATACGTCAAATAGCGATCACAAAACGTTGCTCTTTGAGGAAAAGCAATTTCATTGAAAGGCTAGTGGAAACTAAATACGAAACAGCTTCCCCCGCCCCCACTAGTATAGTAAACGTACGAGCAATTGCATTGGATTTAATGTGTTAGGTGAACAATGGGGTGGCCACTTTGGAATTGAAAATCTTGTTAGTCTTTGTTTAGTGCAACAAATGACATATCTTTTAACATAACAAATTGAATTATACATAGAGTTAGTGACCTAGGCCTAGTAAACGTCAGTAATATTGAGAAATTTACGTTAGGATTGGAAAAAATGACCCGAAATTTCGTCGCGCGATTTTGAGCTAAACTATTTAACTACGTCGCAGTCTTAGACTCCAATAATTAAACAAAAAAATGGGACCCACCTGCAAGCATTACCTTTCGGATAAAAAAAGAATTATCCAAATCGGTCCACTAGCGGCGGAGTTATGCCGTAACACACATAAAAAAACATATCGACGAATTGAATACCTCCTTCGTTTGGGAAGTCGGTCAAAAAATAATAATTCGTAATTAAAAAATCTCTGCCCCAATTCTCTAAAAGGATTCAAATCTATTGAATGATGTTGACGGTCGATTGATGATCGATTTTTAATTTAGACGGGAAAATAAAATTACCTTTAACTGGCACGTAGGAAGAATCTTTTAATTATTTAATTTAGATTATAACTATCATGGTTAATAAACCTCACGCACTGTAGTTACCTTACATACGTGACACGATCTCTTGACAACGAATGACTATAACAGCTATTTTTTACGTTGGCAACATTGTCTGCCTTGAAGGTGAAATAACCGTAGTGATATTTCATCATTTCCTCATTACCAACATAATGTAAAAAACAATATATATTTCTATCCACCTACATACATTATATAAAATAAAAAATACTACAGGATTTTTGTTTCACTTATTTAATAAATTGCTAAATACCTACAACACATTTATCGTTCTATAAATAAAACGTTTTAATATATAACTTAAGTTTATTACGAAACTATAATATTAAATTATAATGTAATGAATTTGCGTGTAATACCGAGCTGTTAAAATTTATAACCTAAAATGACAACAACCTAATTACAATAAATATTATTACTACATGTGAAACTTTCACATACGCCTTTGTAAATTCTAAAAAAATATGCCGCAATGTACCGCTTACATTATATAATAATTTTGTAACGTTGAGAAATAAAACTTTAATGAACGTACATACATAAACATCAAACTTTCAAGATGTATGTACACTGTAGGAATAAAAACAAACAATACCATATAACGCTCTTGGTATAAAGAATATGTTTTAAACAAGTGTTAAAACAGTGGAAACTCAAGAACAAAAGTTGAACTATTAAACGTTTACTAACGAACACTTACCAAAGCAATCCAAATCCTTTCATCAAAGTCAGTCTTCTATTATTCTTATCAAATACGAGTATATTATTTAAATCACAAAACTCTTAATTAAACTAATTAATTCTTAACTATTCCACACTAGATACTACAAAAATTTTGGATACAATGACTAGATATCAAAATGAGCGCGGGAGCACAACCGTGCGCGGTAACGGTCGAAGCATAACTGACAGAGGGGGTCAAGTTTTCGGAAAAAGTCGAACTGCAGGCAAAGGCAGTCATACGTTACGGCCGAGATGACTACAACAAAAAAGGACCCTAAATATTGGAATCAAGCGCTTCTCAAAGGCACATTTTTTTTTATTTTAATATTTTAAAAATTGCTATTTTTATTATTTTTTAAATACGAGTCAGAATTTTAAAAAAACCTTTGCAATAATTATTAACTAACTAACTAAATTAAATTAAAAAAATAAAGTTTTTATGTTAACCTATTTCATAAAAATAACTAAAAGGTAACAACGTTTCCTTGTGCTTTATAATTCTAAAACCATCAAGGTCAGTTTAATACTTTAGTCATGGCGATTTTTTTTACAATGATTCGTACATTCTAGTTTCCAAGGTTAGTTCGACCGTTCAATGTACCCGAACTCAGTGACCTTGCATATGTTAATATAAAAAACATAACGTACATTTAACGTTAAAAACCACACGACTGTCAATTATATTATTACTAGTTGTCGCCGGTGAGTACGTCCGGATAGAAGTAAAAAAAAAAACAAAAATAAGTAGCCTATGGGTTTTCCAGACCATCCAGATTTCAAAAAATCCGCCTAGCAATTTAGGCTATCTAACAAACATCCATCCATCTAAACTTACGCATTTACATAGTAAGATTTATTTTGATCAAAATTATAACTTGAATATAAAATCTAGGTTAGATTAGAGTTAAGTATGCAAACAAAAAACTTAACCTTATGTAAAAATTGTTTATTCCATTAAAAAACAATTCACATGCAATCATTGGCCGTATCCAATCAGATTGGCTACGTTAATTCGCAAATGATGTATTCTTAAGATTGGCCTCTAGTTATTGGAAACCCTGAAAATAAACATTTAATACGTATAGATCAGGCCAAGGCTTGTATTGTGATTGTCTTACATACTCACGATATAATAATTGCTAACATGGTTTCTTATTTACTTAATTTTAGTAATTATTGCTAAGATTTATGTTCTACATTATACTGTTTTTAAATAATTGTTAAATAATGTGAGTTAAAAAATGTTTTACAATTGAACGAAAAAATATGCACAAAAGGTTTACAATAAATCAATTATTTTAATACGCGAGCAACACAGGGGTGCCTATATTGTTAATAATAGAAGTTTGAGAACCACGGACCGTTAAATTCGAGTTCTGCAGCTGCCGTGACGCACACATTCGCAGCCCTACACGTATACGAAGCTTTGTTACACTCGTGTGCATTGTGTACATGTATTGTTCTATACTATATAATTTTATGCGTAGGGGTGTAAAATCATTAAGTTTTTTTTTCGTAACGGTATTGATTAGTTCAATGTACGGATGATATTGGGGTTGGTTAGTTTATATTGTGGCGACATCTGTGCTGTTTAATATTAAAATGAACCAAACAAAGTTGTACTATTCACTATAAAAAATTTAATAAATCTTAAATAATAACCTTAGTAACTATATGTGCCCTAGTTATCTATTATATACTAATATTATAAAGAGGAAATATTTGTATTTTTGTGTGTATTGAAATAACTCCAAAACTATTGGGCCGATTTTAAAATTTCTTTCATCGTTAAAAAGGTAATTTATCTGTAACAGAGGCTATACTTTTTAGTATTTTTTAATTTCTCACGAACAAAGTCGTGAGCAACAGCTAGTATTATTATGAAAGAATAAAATAATAAATCGAATTTCGATTTCGGGTTATTAATAACAAATTATTACTGCATGTATGTATTATCAAATCAATCGGCATAAGACATATCCGTCTTAAACACAATGTCTTATCTGTTACGCAACAAGTTACTTAATCTTTGAGACATATTGGTACATTGAATGTCCTTTCTATTTCATTATTCTATGACGTCCGTTAAATTTTGAATAACGAACTTTGAATCACAAAGTTCAATACAGTTTTTGTTTGTTTTTTCGTAATTACAATGATGTCTGCGTTTATTTTTAGTTAAAAAATATTTTATACGTAGTCCATAGGCTTTCTTAAAATTAATCATACTTTTTAATCGAACAGGGTAAGCAGAAGTTATGTGTTTTGTGTTCCTTATAATATATCTTACCTTATTACTCATCATTGGCCGCGGTGGCCGTTCGTGAATGGGCCCGTTGTTTGTCTTTGCGAAATCCCCAACGTTCCTATAAACAAAGATTGTGATATTGGACATTATGGAACACCAAAAGACATAACTATGAAGTTAATTATTATGTCTCTTAGGCCAATTTTACATAAAAATAACTACACATATAATCTATACGAATATTATAAAGAGGAAAGATTTGTATTTTTGTATGTAATGTAATAACTCAAAAGCTACTGGGCCTACTTCAAAAAATCTTTCACCATTAAAAAGCTACGTTATCAGTGAGTAACATAGGCTATTTTTTTTTATTTCACACAAGCGAAATCGCAAGCAACAGCTAGTTATAGATAATTTGATACCATATGTGCATGTGTTTTTGGTTCACGTAAAAACTACTGAGCCGATTTCAAATTACTTCACCATTCGAAAGTTAATTTAACTATGAGTAACATAGGCTATGTTTTTGTTATTTTTAAGTTTCACGCGGACAAAGTCGAGAACAGCTATTTAAGTTTAAATAGACAATAAATGGCAGATTGACTCAGTGATAATCATATTATAAAAATATATTCCAGCAAGCCAATAAACTGTTATGAACAAAACAATTTATAAACATCTTAAAAAGATCGTGATCTCACAGGACATTCAAATTGTATAATTATTTGTACAGACAGACAAATACTGCGTCATAACAAGTGTCAAAACATTAACAAAATATTATGTAAACATTTTGTATTGTATTAAAACAAAATCACAGGTCACATAAATACTAATCGCAAACAATCATATTATACTAATATTATAAATGCGAAAGTTTAGATGGATGGATGGATGTTTGTTAGAGATTGTAGCCTAAACGGCTGAACGGATTTAGATGAAATTTCTCATAGATGTAGAAGATAGTGCGGAAGAACACTAAAGCTACTCACTTTAGTTTTTTTTTTAATTTCACGAGGACGGAGTCGCGGGCGAATGCTAGTTATGCATAAAACCTTAGTGTTGTGTATGCAAATTGCGCTTTATAAATATATCGATAGTTGTTTTACATATTTTTTAGACATATCTATACTATTGTAATAAAGCGTAAACACACACTGCCTAAGATATCCGAAATTACAGCATATTTTTGAATAACTCTTTTCTTTATAAAAAGCCCTACACTTAAGTCATGCTTTCACGCCATTAAACTTAGGGTGTAACTTTGGATAAAACCCTAATGTGGGAAAGAGACCATAGGTTGCTGCCAACATCAAGAAAGAAAGATTACTAAGGTTTGTCATGTCATGTCATTTTGTCATTTGCTATTGATAATTTGACAAATGTAAACAATAAAATAAAATTTTCATAATTGCATGCGGATGAAGCCGCATGGGAACAGCTATACTCTATAAAACGTCAAAGACTTCACTATACTGTCTATTTGATTAATTCAATACTACCTTTCGCCTGTAACTCCATCGCCGTGGAATTAAAGAAAACAAAAGTAGATACCCTATGTGTTTATCCAGACTATCCTCTACTTTTATGCCGAATTTTATCGAGATCCGTTCAGCAGTTTAGACTACAAACTCTAACAAACATCCAAACATTCGCATTTATAATACTAGCATTGAAACTACGTTCACTTTTACTTAGCTTTGTTTCATCATGTACTATTTAACAAATTACATTACAAATGTTTATATAATCTAAATTTTGAAATGACATTTGTGTCTATCAATTCAAATTATAGAGTCATTATTGTGTTGCAGCTTAGTTTTTTTGTATAAATTTAACAAAGAGATTAAAAAAATAGAGGAGGCATATTTGACACTTCACTTAAAACATTTTACACATAATCTTACTAACGCTATCTTTTGTAGATCCTCAAAACTACATAGTAATTAATTGTATTTAAATTAATTATCAATATATGTCATTAAAAATTATTTAAATGTTTATATTTTAAAACAAAAGATGGAGCTTATTATAATTTTGATAAATACATTGCGTAAAATTGACAATTGATATAGTACCTTTCAGAGAAAGTACCGGTGAAAAAAATTTGTCTATGCCTCATCTATATATGTTTTAATGTCTTTGGTTTATACGTAATTAGTATGTTCGTATGATTGCGAATATAAAAACAATATCTTTGCAGTAAATGTAGTTAACCTTCGAAAGACGGGGATTACACCTGCCATGTTCATACAATCTTTAGAGAAAATGAGTTCAGTTGATAATAATTACAGTATTTTTTACACAGTATCAGCGTAAGTCTGTGGCGTCGAAACTTATTTCTTAGTACAGTAGAACCTCGATAACTCAAACCTCGGTAACTTAAACACCTTTATAACTTCAAAAAATAATATGTTTCCTTCCTATCAGAGCCCAAAACCTCTATAACATATACCCTTGATAACTTAAAACCTCTATAAGTTAAAATATTTTGTGTTTCCCTTGGACTTTAACTTATCGAGGTTTTACTGTAATATAATTAATGCGAAAGTTTAAATGAACAGATGTTTGTTTGAATGTCCACAGCAGCAATGGATTACGTCATTTGAGACGTAGAACATAATATAGAAGACTACTTTGAGTCGCGCTTTGATTATGAGCTTATATGGAGGTGCGGACATTACTCGATTTTTAGTCGTGCAACTAAACAGTTGAATTGACTGCGAAACAATGGACAATCGCACAATAATTGTGCGACAGTTTAGTTAAAAGTGTGCGCCCACCCTTAGTCTACTATTTTTTTTTAAATTACGCGCGTATGAAGTCTCAGTCAAAAGCTGGTGGTACATAGAAAAGACATATACCATCAATACATAACAAAGATCGAGGCAACTTTTAGTTAAATCTGGTTATTACTAGCAATTACTTAGATCGAAGAAATAAAGAACACATATACGATAATTAACTTGAGATGTGCAAAGTACCAAGTTTACCTTAATAGCGGTAATATATTTTTATATCGTTTTATAACATAGCGATATGCCTGAAATGCACCAGGGGGCGTAATTATTTCGCCAGCTGTGCATTGGGTCACTTTCCCTGCAACTGTCTCATGGTACACTAGCGACATCACCCGATTTTACATGGGTATCACATCAATTAAAGGTAAGACCATACGCTGTCTCTTTGTTTGCATGAATATTAAATGACAATGCGTTACAGACAGACATAAAGCTTTTTATTAATGAATATTCAATTAACACGGTATTGTAATTACTAATGGAGTATTTTAATGTTTTCCGTATTTCGAGGAGTTTTATTAAATACATTTAATTTTCAGACGTCCCGATCCCGAGTGCTCGTTGCTGTTTTCGAGGATTTGCGGTTTATTGATTCCGAATGAGATTGTTTGTGCTCGTGAGATTTTATAAACCAAAAGTACATCGATTTCTACTAAAGGGGAAACGGTATTAAAATTGTAAATGTTCTATCGTATTGGTTTATTTAAATTTAACTAAAGATTACAAATATTTTACATAGAATCTCTGAAAATATTTTCATATGAAACCTTAACAAATACTTTTGTACAGGCAACTGCAAATTTCAACTGGAAGCAAGTCTGGAAGAACACCTATGTGCTATTTAAAAAAAACTAGTTTTTTTTTTTAATTTCGCGTGGATGGAGTTCCGAATAGTTATATTTAAATCTTTACTTCATATTGCTAATATTTAAAGACAGCTGTTCATATCCGTAGGTAACATAATCCATATGCCCTAGGTGGTGCAGAATTTACAATAAATAAACAAAGACTATACCCAGACCGCGTTTCCTGTGCGCGAAAGAGACGCCACAATCTGGGAAGTGCAACGACCTCACAGGATGCGAGGCTAAAGTCATGTTTATGTTACCCAGGTGAATCGAGTACCGATATCCAAAAATATTTTATCGTTTATTGTTAATTAGGAAATAAGGATTCCGTTTATAGTGTACTATAGCAATTGTAAATATTTTTAAAATACTAGCTTACGCCCACGACTTCGAGCGCATGAAACAATAAAACAAAAGTAGTAACTTATGTGTTCCACACTATCCTCAACATAAATGCCAAATCTCATCGAGATCCTTTCAGCCGTTTGAGCTACAAACTTTAACAAACATTCCTCTAAACTTTCGCATTTATAATATTAGCAAGATATGTTTTTAATTTCTTATCCTTGTCTTTATTGTTCAATTTGCTAGAGCGAGAGACGGTATGGCGTGTCCACGCGTGGGACATTGAGGTAGGCCTAGCCCACGGGAAGCCAAGGGTCATCGTCCGGGTGAACGACCCGGGATATGACCTCCACATTTTTACGGCTTGCAAGTGACTCAACCGAAGTACCAACGGGACGATGTAACAGTTTTGAGGCATGTGCGAATTAATTTTACACTTTTTTGCATGTTTACGTCGAGCGTTGCGTGGAGCTCACAATAGGCAGTATGTCAAAGTTTGTGTAGGCGTAACCACTGCTCTGTGACACAAAAGAATATTAGTGTCAAGATAACTTAAAAGCAGTATAAAACAGCAAAGTAATAAATGTTTACACGTAAAATGGGAAGTTAAATTTATTTATATGTGGAAATATCACTAATATTATAAATGCGATAGTTTAGATGGATGGATGTTTTTTTTAAATTTACAGCCTAAACTACTGAACGGACCTCGATTAAATTTGGCATAGATGTAGAGGATTGTCTAGAAGAACACATAGACTAGCGAGCGAAAGCTAGTACTTTTATAATCTAAAATTTTACGAAACATGTAATAATATTAAATATACTCTTGGTATATAATTAAACAGTAAGACATGCAGTCTTTAGCAAACTGAATACATCTTGCATAAAGCCATCCATCATAGGAGATGTCACAGAGCATTGCATATCTAACAGGTCGCAAACTCCATTTCCTAGCAATATCCACAAGTCACCAAGCTTCCTGTTGAAGACGAACACCTTTATCTCAACTAAAATATTCCAGCTAGACAAGTGCAAATATCTTCATACATTTCTGGTAGCAGTATGTGTGTGTGTGTCTTTTTTATTTGATTTTTAAGCCACAAGATAAGACATGCCTTAAT